CACTGTTTTGTCCCCCTGGGATTCTAGATTATATTTCAGGAAGATTGTTAATCTAAATGGTAAGTAGTCATTGATTAATGTGTTTTGTTTTTGTTCTACTAGGCAGTTTCTTTTTTTGGAAGTGTTTGCATGGAGAAAGCTCCACTGAGGATATGTGTCACACTTTGGAGTCTGCTGGACTTAGCCCTCAGCTGTTGTTGGTAAGGTTTTTGTTGCTGGATGCCATTCTTCTTGCGAATGTTATTCAAAATGTCAGTCTTTTTTTTTTTTAACCCTTGTCTTTTAGCATATCATAGAATGTACATGAAAACCTTCTAAATATGATCAAAGACATTTGTAATCACCATATTACATAGAGTAATATTATTTGATTTTTATTCTCTGTAAATTTTAACAAGCATAGTCTATGATTGGCCTAAAATAAATTTAGAATCTCACCTGTGTGCATGCATTTACAGTAGAATTTGATCATCAGTAAAAACTGTTATGTTGGAACTATGAAAACAAAATAACCTTCCCTTGAAGCAATATGGCATTATTATCAAATATTCCTAAACATTGAATATACATTAGGATGTAATCTCTGTGGAATAATAAATGTAAAACAAAAGAATCATCCAATGAAGAAACTACAATACTACATTTTTGCCCTTTCTTAAAAAAGTAAGGAAAGTTGCCCCATCATCATCAGTTCTCCCTTATTACCCACCGCCTACACATTCACACATGCACTTGTCCCTCAGTATTTGTTTAGGGGATTCGTTCCAGCCCCCCAAAGCAAAATCCATGGATGCTCAAGGTCGCTTATATAAAATGATGTAGCATTTGCATATAACTTATGCACATCCTCCTATATACTTTAAATTATCTCTAGATTACTTATAATACCTAATACAATGTAAATACTATGTAAATAGTTGTTATACTGTATTGTTTAAGGAATAATGACAGGGAAAAAAGTCTGTATGGGTTCAGTACAGATGCAACCATCCATTTTTTTCTCCTGAATATTTTTGATCCACGGTTGTGTGAATGCATGAATGCAGAACACATAGATATGGAGGTCTGACTGTACATACTCTTTCACATACCCGTTTATATATTTTGGCCAGGATTTGGGCATTCTACCGCTGTTGACTGTGTTAATGTGTTGTATTTATTGTGTCTTTATCTGGTTTTGGTATCAGCATAATGCTAGCTGTCATCGTAGAATGAGTTTGGAAGTATTTCTTCGTCTTCAGGTTTTTGAAGCAGTTTGAGTAGAATTGGTATTAGTTCTTCTTTAAATGTTGGTTGAATTCAGCAGTGAATACATCATGTCTTGGGCTTTCTTTGGTTGGGAAACTTTTGAAT